TTTTTTTTTTTTCATCGAAATTTTTAAGTATTTATCCAAAACGAAATTCTAAATAATATGTTTTTGGGCTTGGGCCCCAATTCGTAAAACTTTTTAGGCTCAATTAAAGAAAATTACTCAGGTCTTAACAGCCCATATTATCATAAAATCTGGATTTCTCTCTCTCGGAGTTTGGGTTGTTAATGAAAATTCAAAAGTTTTGAAACTAAAAAATTTGGGGTATTTACAATTATTGATTGAGATGGTTCCAAACCGTATCATGCCAATAAATTTAAATTACTCGGTCTTAACAGCCCATATTATCATAAATCTGGATTTTTGATTTAATGAAAATTCAAAAGTTTTGAAAATAAAAATTTGGGGTATTACAATTATTGATTGAGATGGTCCAAACCGATCATGCCAAATAATAAAAGTATTTAGATTTGTAAACTTTCAATTTATAATCATATTTATTTCAATCATTATCTCTATATGATATCCATTTAGATGAATATCTTTGGAATAGTGCATTATGCGTAAAATTCATTCTTCTAGGTAGTAAACATACTTTTTTGAAGACTTTAAATATTCTTTTACTACCAATGCCAAATTTGATCTAACATATTTTAGTGTACATAAGTACATAATCAAATATTCATATATATCACATTATTTGTATCACTTCTGATGGTAAAATTTATTCTTAATTATGTGGCCACCATAATTGTTAAGACCATTAATATCAATTGTGATCTTATTAATATTCTCAATGATAAGTATATCTTTTTCACTGTTTATGTTCATACCCAATATCATATATTATTGTATTCACTTTAGGGAATGCATCCAATTTAATTAGATACACATCGCTATATCCATATATATGTTATTCCATTCACTTCAGGTATTGGAGCAAAATCTAATTAGCGACCTCAATGATCTTTACTAAGATTTCTTTACTTTGCTCAATGACAAAAAATATATGAAATAAATCCAAAATATATATTAAAAACCTCTGTTTTGAATTTGTTACTTTAGGAGCATATTCGAAGCATAAATATCATTGGCAATTCTAGATGAAGGGATAATATAGCTCCAAATATAATAACAACAATATCTTAATTGTATTTAAAAAATCAATTCTCAAAATTTATACTACATGAATAATACATACTAATATAGAACAATAATAAAATAATCCATATGGATAATATATATAAATGTATAGCAACAATTATAATAGTAAAACAATAACCTTAATGCTGCAGAATTATTTTATTATGATGAAACTTTAGCAATTGTACCTTTCTTTCAAACAATTCCAAAAAAAAAAAAAAACGGATATTTAATTATCAAATATTCAATTGAGAAAAATTATTACCTTTATGCTATTTTGATTTTATTCTTAATTTTCTTCTATATCTTCAAGATCCATGGTAAATGATTCATGCCCATAACACTAAGGGCCATAGATTTAAGTTTTGTAAGGTTTGACAAGATGATAGTATTATAACAAAACAAAATAACTATAGCTGATAATAATATTATAGGATGAACTCACTAAAATAGAATATTATATAATTAATTTGTTATTGTAGTTCAATAGACATCAAATCTAAATCTCAAACATACTTAATAAAAGGAAATTAATAAATATTGTATATTATTGTTAATAATTAATTGAAATTGTATAGCAATCATAATTATAATCTATGAACAGTAATAATTATATATATTTGATCTTTTAAATATCAAAATAAATTGTTAGTATTGTTCGATACAACAAAAACAAACAATGAAAAGGAAGTAAAATCGTTGACAATCCAAAATCAACAATACATGTGAAAGTGAAAATTAACAATAATAACTTTTACACAAACAAACTGTGACAATCCTAGATCAATTTTTTTCATTTTTTTCAGAATAAAAAAAAAACCGTGACTGACGTACAAGTATCCAAGTTAATAGTTATTAATAACTGTGGGTGTTTTTAAGTATCAAAATACTACAATATACAATTAGTAATTTAATATCATAATAAATATTTATTTATGATTAATAATAATAAAATTCTCAAACGCGTTGAGAATTACCTTTCAAAGGAAAACAAATTTAAAATACTCATATCTTAATTTTGATTGTCGTAAACCACAAATTGTTCTTTCTTTAAGCGACTTGATCAAAAGAGTAATAGAACAAAAATCAAAGCGATAAGGTAAAATTGTAGTGGTAGAATGGATCGTGCTGATAACGTGTTATAAAATAATAGGGAGAGAAGTAAAGAGAAAATATGAAGAATATGGAGAGATTACGACAATATATTTATTATTGATAAGAAGCCACATGTATATATATAGTTACATAAGTGGAACTCTAATAGAAACCTATACAAATCAGGAAAACAGAGTTCACAACAATTAAAAATATAAACTTCTAGCTCATATAGGACATCCACTTATTTCATAATAAATAATTTTTTTTTTTAAATTTACTTTATAAATTATTTTGATTTTTAATTTTATTTATTAACTTTGACTTTTTTTTTTCTTCCTAACTTTTTTTTTTTTTTTTTTTTGTTAACTTTGACTTTTTTTTTTTCTTCCTACTTTTTTTTTTTTTTTTTTTTGGAAAAGGAAAACTCAATTCTATTAATTTTGAGTGATAAATAGAGGCCAAGCATTAAGGTATACCGTCCCAAACATGGTTCTTAGAATAATTAATAGGAAGCTTAAGAAGCTCTTTTTTTTTTTTTTTTTTTTGGAAAAGGAAAACTCAAACTTCTATTAATTTGAGTGATAAATAGAGGCCAAGCATTAGGTATACCGTCCCAAACATGGTTCTTAGAATAATTATAGGAAGCTCTAAGAAGCTCTAGCTAGAGTATAAGCTCCTATGTTTGCTTGTCTCCTAACCATCTAATAGAAATATTTTGCTTTGAATAAATTTACATTGAAGTCACTTGGGATTAACTCATGGTTCAAAATTCAAAGTCCACCAACCAATCTCTCAAAGGAAAAGAGCTTCCTCATTTTGTTCATGAGAAGCACTATAAGCCACTGACTATAAATGATTTGGAACATAGCTTGATGCATGCAACTTCTATATCTAAGTAAAAACTCTAATACATGCTTAAAACTCCAAATTTACTATAAGTAACTCTTTTTGTTTATCTATTCACATGGAAAGGACGAATTAGTAATAGCCTTTGACTTGATGACGACTTGTCTAATTTCAACATACAAATTATGTGTAGTATTTGCAAATTGCAATCCCTTTCAAAGCTATATAATAGAGTCAAGGCCACTAAATTGGAAAATTGTAACCAAAACTTTAATCAAATGGAAGCAATTCCTCCTTGCAATCCGGCGGTAGATGAGATGTTCATAGTTTCCTTTTTCAAAGGCTAATTCTATTTCTATATATGTTTTGTTTTTGGAATGTACAAAGTTTTTTTGTACCGTTCATTTATACCATTTGATATTACAAATTACTAATAATATGTATAACTTCATAATTGGTACTGCAAATTTATGAAAGAATGAATATATCATAAAAAATATCATATGATCGATGATATAATTAAGTTGGTAAGGACTGTTTGGTCTTTTTATTTTCATTTATATAGATCACTAAACCCATGAAAAAAGAAAAAAAAAACATTAAGGTATGTATTAATTAAGATTATTGTATATTTTAAATTATTGAATATTTATTGTATTATTTACTTATAAAACAACTTACTTTTTTTATTACAATATGTAATAGTATTAATTTGATATATATTAATATCTAATTATTTATGAAACAAATATTTATATTATTATCTTTTTGAATAAAATATTTATATTATTATTGATATCATATTAAAGACGGTAAAATATTATGATATTAGAGATTATCTATTTTAATTTATAAGTCTTTATTTTTATATATGAAAATTATGTATTATAACTTATCTTAGTATATAGAAAATTATTTATTTATGATAATTTTTATTTTTATTGAGTCTAATATCAATTCTTATAATTTTAGGAAAATCATATCCCAAAAGCTAACTGTCGATGTCGAAGAGTTTAAGTTCATATAAACCCCACACTAAAAATTTCATACCTCTAATTTGAAATATAAAATAATTTTCATATATACCTTATCTTGCAACTAAAATCCTAACACTTTCTCTCTCTTTTATGGCAACTAGAGTTATTTTTTTCATTCTCATCATCTCATCTGAATTAATTCTAGAGTGTGTACCATCAATAGTTAAGATAGGATAGCTAGAGTCTTTATTCATTAACTAGAGGTTTCGAGTTTAAGTCATGCAATTTATCTATTATGGATCTATCTGGCAAAAAGCTGGATTAATTGGGCCAATAAACTTCGAACATTGGATATTTTTTATAAAAAAGAGTTTGCCTAAAAATAATATATTTATTTGAATTTGATGAAGATTATAAAAAATACATATAAGTGAATTTGATATAAACACTTATACAAAATAATAAAAAAACACTTATGTATTAAGTGTATTTGATACAAATTCAATTACATAAACACTTATGTGTTAAGTCTTCATTGATGGTAATCAATTTCATTTTTTCTTTACTTGTATTTGTATAATCAAAATAATAAAAAAAATTAAAAAATAAGGGAAAAAATGAAGAAAAAGCTTAAATTTAACAATTTATTTTATGTTAAGGACAGCGTGGAGGGAGGGAAAACATTTTCTTGGTAATTGGATAATATATAAGACTTTGTTCTATACATTAAATTTGATAGTTTCACCACATCTACACTTTCTATGTAAGTAGTTAAATTATTTAACAAATTATCCAATTTCAAAACAATATTCCAAATTTTAATGGGCCCACACAAGTATCCAAATCTAATCTTCCTATTTAGGAACATTAATCAAATTATGTGGGACCATAATACCCTTATTCTTCATCCAAAAACCAAACACAAAACATATGTTTTGTAGCGGTTGAACTACTAATGTCCAAAAACCATGTGCCTTAGACCAAACTTTCTATCCTTCTAATACCCAAATCTCTTATTATTTTTCAAGAACCAAGCCATGCCCACCACCACCGTTACCACCACCACGACCACTTCTGAAGACTTCAGCTTCCCTACCTTGACGGGCACGGTCCCGGCGGCCATCGACTCCCCACCTCTTTGGCAGTTATCTCCAGATTCTTGCCATAGTAAAAGCACAAAGAGAGAAAGTAATGAAGAAAGTGACCAAGAAGAATATTTTAAAGATTGTTTTCCTCTTAAAGATAAACAAATCAAGAATAATATTGGTCAAAGAAAGAGCTTTTCTTGGGTGGAAGATGAAGAAAAGATGGATATGTTATGGGAAGATTTTAATGAAGACTTAATGTTGAAGAGAAACTATAGCTGTGGGAATAGTTCAAGATTTTCAGGTTCTCATGATATGGTCAATATGGGTTGTGTTCCAATTCAATCTTTAAGACCGTCTGTTAGAAATAATGGTGCTATGATTTCTGCTCCAAGGAAGCCTAATGCTGGCTTTGAGGTTTTCATGAAAGCCCTGAAGAGGGTTTTCTTGCTTCATCAAAATCATTCCCCTCGAATCAGACGAGTCAAGAATCAATCATGATCAAGATCAAATCATGGTTATGAATATTTTTTTTTGTTTATATTTCTTGGCTTCATTCTGATGATGAAGATGATGATGGTGAAGCTTTACTCAGCGCCGTTCAATCCCAGGCTGACATGTGTCTGGGAAGGTAATATAGATATAAAAGTTCCAAACCAATTTGTACATTTACACAGAAATTGCTATTAGTATTAGTATGAAGGTGAAATTTACAGAAGCTCTACATTTCTTTTACATTGATTTGTTGGATTCTATCTAGAAGATAAGGATATTCCTCAAAGCCTGATTGATTATTTATTTTCTTTTAGAATATACAAGTTTTATATTATACCCGCACTTGCTTGCGGGTAGGTTTGATGTCTATTTAAGCAAAATTTTTTAAATAAAATAAGTATTATCTATCACATTTTTCTTATAAATTTCAGTTTCATCGTTAAAAGCTTTTCAGATTAAAATGTAATTGAAAAAATTTAGTGGTAAATAATAAAAATCTAAGAGTATTAAAATGAATAGTTACAAACATAATAGAATGATAATTTTATAGTATAGTAAATTTTTATATTTAGAGAATAGTCAAAAAAATTTTTCTTATAGTTTAGTAAATTTTATATTTAGAAAATATGTAAGAAAATAATTGAATAATAACTGAATTGAATAATTTCTAAAATAAAATATCATAAATTATAATTATGTACTCATAAAGTAAGTTTAGTCATAAATTTATATTTGAATACCTCCTGTGTATATGCAAAAGGAAAAATTTTTATTTGCATCAATACAGTGATTCCAAATGGACAAAACTAAATATTAAAGTTTGTTTAATAAAAAAATATTTATAAGATAATTTTATTTGTAAAAAAAATATTTAATTTGAAGTAATAATCTAGTTGATAAATATGTAATCAATAATTTTTTTATAGAGTTGAAATCTATACTTACTAGTTCATTTATAAATATTTAAGTTTATTTAGTTTTGAGAAACATAAATTAAATTAAAAAATAATTTAAAAAAAGAAAGATGGAAAAAAACGATTGGATATTCACTTATTTAAATGATTCTTTTTGCCGTTAAACTTTAGACATAAATCTTAAATAAATTATTAATAAATTATAGTATTTAGGACGTGAAAACTTTAGAAAGTATAGTAAAAGAAAAGATTTTAAGGCAAAATTATTAAAATGCTTGAAACATAAACTTTTTAATGCTAGTCTGTGGTAAAATAAAATAAAGAATAAAATATCATATGTGGAAGACATATGTGATAAAAATTAAAGTTAATAAACCAATTTAATTTCCAAAATTGATGTTATTTTGAATGTCCTGAACATAAAAGAAAAAATTGAGAAAAACATAGTAAATCATAATATCTCTACACGTGTAGAGAGGGTACAACTAAAATAGAATTTCACACGTGTTAAAAGAATGAAGAAACTGCAATAGCCATAGAAAAGAGTGCATGAACAGTGAAAATCACTTATAAAAAGCTAAAAGACAAAGATGGAATAGTATTAAAAGAGGATGGTTAAACTGTCAATTCACTGTTCGTAGGTTTCCATTTATATATATATATATATATATAGGCAATAGCCATAAGAAAAGAGTGCATGACACAGTGAAAATCACTTATAAAAAGCTAAAAGACAAAGATGGAATAGTATTAAAGAGGATGGTTAACTGTCATTCACATGTTCGTTAGTTTCCATTTATATATATATATATATATATATATATAAAATATGTGAATAAGAGAATAATTAAATTTTAATTTATTCATATAATTCCCATACTTTGGTGAGAGGTCGAGCTTATTCCGTTCAGAGGCCAATCGATTTCGGTAAATAAATGTTTGTTAAAATTCAGTTCAAAAAATTAAATTTTTTCGGTGAATTAATTATAGAGTTCTGTTGGCTTCAAAGGTCAAATATTTTATCTGCATTTTTTGAATGATTGACAATAAAACAAATAAATTCAAATTATATTATTTTGTGCTAATAATTAATTTTTCATGCCAGATTTATATATATGGAAGGTACAATAAATAAACAAGGCAATCCAAACAATTTCCCAAGGATCCATGAAGACTATTGAGACCTTAGTGGTTAGATTTTTAGGATTCCATTGTTAGGATAGAAGAGAACATCCCATATATAAGCACAAAATTAATTTCATTACATCTCTTTATCAAAAAGGATTTTTTTTCGAAAATAAACTCTTTAAATAAAAACATAAAAAAACAAACAAAACAATAACTATTAAAAAAAAACAAAATCAAAAGAATTTTTCGTTCCTTGATTTATCTTAACGCCCTCTACAGTGGAGGAGATCTTTGGTTTCAATCATTTTTCGTAATACAATATTTTAAAAAAAACTTGTTTTTAGTTTTTTTTTAGTTTTTCAAAAATTATCTTCATAAAGGTTCGAAATTCACTTACCTAAATTAAAGAGACTTTGTCTCAAACGATTTTGATAATAAGAATAAATCGAATAAGGTTTTTATGCTCTTCATTTTCGAAAACAAAACTTTTAAAGAGATTCAAAATCTTGATTTTATTCTTACCTAAACGAAAGAGATTCTATCTCAAATCGTTTTTGGTAAATATTTGTTTCAAAAAAAATATTTCTTTTATTTTCGAAAATCTTGTTGTTAAAGGAAAGTTATATTTCTCTTATTCGCTTACCAAAAAGAAAGAATATTGATTCAAAAGAATTTTTGGTAACAAAGATCTCCGTATCTTCTAAAAATAGAAATTTGAAAAAGAGATTTTACTTTCTAAAAACGGGATTATTATCTCTCTCTATAAAAGGTGTCTTTTCTTTAAAAGATGTGGGGAAAAAAGTTTTTAAGAGTGTTCGTCCATTGATCATATTTTTTATCTCTCAAGACTTATTCTCAACCTCCTTTATTTCTTTTTCATCTTAGTACTTTACGTTTTATCTTCAAAAGAGAAAAGAAATTTTATAACAACTTCTTTTGAAAAACAGTTTTTATAACAACTTCTTTTGAAAAACAGTTCTGATTTCTAAAATGATTTTCTAATCTTAAAAACTGTTTTTCCTGTGCTTATATTTGCATTTTTGTCTATCTATTTAGATTCTGTAATCTTTAGTAGACAGGTTTTCGTTTGATAAGCTTTTGTATAATAGCTTAGGTAAAAAGTTATTGTAAAATAGGTTATCAAGCGACCTTCTCCGTGAAGGAGATTCTAATATCTTGATTTGAGTTTCTGTTCTCTGCCAAAAACAGAGAGGGTTGAGGTTAACTAGAACCTTTGAAAATTTAGTGGGATAAAGGATAGATCTAGGAGTTAATCTATTGCCTTGTATTATTGGTTTGTCTCTTCTTACCCTTGAAAAGAGATAACATAGTTGAGGATCTCAAGATGAGTCTTGGGGAGTGAATGTAGGCGAGTTAGTGCCGAACCACTATAAATCACTCTGTTAATCTTTTTATTTTCTGAAGTTCTGCTTGATACTATTTTACTCACACACTTTTGTTTATATTTTAGAAATATTAAAGTTGTTAAAGGTTTTAATGTTCTAAATTGAAATAAGTTTTATCAATTACTGAACATTAGAACTCAGGACTTCTGCATAGTGAAAATACCAAGTTCTAAACTGTTCTTCTATTTTTAGTATATTTCACTATTTGGGTTTCTAATCAGTTTTCTAATCTTGATTAAACATCAGTTTTCTAATCTTGATTAAAGCTATGTGAAGCAGTTCAGAATTCAATAACTGTCTCTTCACATAGTCTTTTATATTTATCTAAACTTTATGAGGATGTTCTCAAAGTAATAGCCTTCCTTCATAAAGAAGTTTTAAAATTGAATAAGACATTGTGAAGCAGTTTTAATTGATAGCTGCACTTTGCAAAGTCTTTCTACTTTCTGAATAGAGCATTGTGAGAAAGGTCTAATCACAATAACTTACTCTCACTAATGCATCATTTTTCCGCTGCATCAGCATTCTGAGTTTTGTTTTTAAAGTTAAATTTTTATTTTTAGAAAACCCAATTCACCACCCAATTCACCCCCTCTTGGGTTGTGCCAAACATATTCAGGACCCGCAATCTGGTATCAGAGCTTTGGCTCTTGACTTACCAAAGCTTAACAGCTTAAGAGATAAGATCCTATGGTAGCCCCACTTCCTTTTACTTCTTTAGAATGTCAATCTGTTTCTTGACTACCTTTGTTCAATGGTTCTAATTACTCTTATTGGAAAACTAGAATGGAAAATTTCATAAAATCAGTTGACATAAATTGCTGAAGGAATGTCATTACTGGTCCTCGCATTCCTATGAAATTGTAGAAAATGAGAGAGTTAGAAAATCAGAAGAAGAATATACTTATGCTGATTGGAATGATATTTCTATAAATGCAAAAGCTATTAATATTCTTCATTGTGCTTTTCATCCAACAGAATACAACAAAATGTCTGGATGCAAGTCTGCAATGGAAGTTTGGGAAAAACTAATGTTGGATGCAAAGTCTGCAATGGAAGTTTGGGAAAAAACTTGGAGTTACCTCATGAGGTTATGGATAGAGTGGAAAAATTCAGACTAAAGTATCCTTTAGAGAGATATGAAATGTTTAGTATGAGCAGAAGAGAAACTATTGCTGAACTAAATTCTAGATTTACTAATTACCAGTTAATCCCTTTGAGAACTCTCGGAAAGGAAATTTCAGGGAGATGAAGCTTATAAGAAATCCTTAGACTTCTACCTAAAAATGGGACAATTCCTATAGGAATGTGTATGCAAATTACATAGAAACTCCCTGTTACTTATGAATTATTTGATAGGAGCTTCTTGTTTCAGAAGAGTGAAATCTTCTTTGACTGTAGAAGATAAGAAAAAGAAAGAACTGACTTTGAAAGTAGTTTCTAGTGAAGAAAGTTCTTCTGATCTTGATAGTGATGATTTAAAACACTTGTTTGCTAAAAAGATTGCTAAAAGATTCAAAAAGTTCTATAGAAAGAGTAGAAGGCCACAGAAAAAGTTTATCAAAAAGAACTTTCCACCTAAAAATAGCAACTTGCCCAAGAAAAAACCTTCTGAAGTGGTTTGTTATGAATGCAACAAGCTCGGACATATCAAGCCTAATTATCCTAAACTGAAAAAGAAGTCAAAGAAAGAAAAGCTGAAGCAGGCATTCGTAGCCACTTGGAGTGATTCAGATGATTCGAATTCTGAAAGCCAAAGTACCCAAAGTAACCAAGAAGAAACTGCAAATATCTGTCTGATGGCCACTATCAATTCTGACTCCAAGGAAATCAGCACTCTGACTTCAACAT